GCGGGGATGGGGGCTGGGGAGTTTGAGGGGATAGCACGGGATTGCGTGAGGAGGAGGAAGAGGAGAAATGAAGGTGGGTCTGTGGAGAAAGGTCGGGAAAGAAGAGACAGGGTGGGAAATGTGGGAATCGGGAGAGCTGGGCGCCACAGGCCCCCTCGCCCCCCCGGGCATTGGGCTTGCAGCGTGCCCCTCCCCCCCCAGGGCTTCTGCCCCTGGAAGCCCACGGTGTTCTTAAGACCCCTGGGGAGCCCTTCCGTCATTTCCCAGAATTGCCTCCTGAGGTGAGGAGGGGGCGTCGTCTCCTGAGGAAAGAGGCTTCTGGGCTTCTACCCTGTGCTGGATAACCCAAGAAATGGGAGGGCCGGGATTCCGGGCCCCAGCCCTGGCTCTGCCATCAACCAAAGGCAGAACAGCTGTGTGACCTTGGGCGAGTCACTACCTTTTCTTTGAGCCTCAGATTTGCAGGTTTCTTAGAAAAGAAAGAAAGAAAGAAAGAAAGGCAAATGGATACAAGACATTGATACCCCAGATCTCTTCCAGCTCCAAAATGAGTGGCTTTTGAGGAGAGAGTTTAGGAAAATGGGTCCTAAGAAGCCTAGAAGCGAGTGAAAGGAGATGACGATGGAGGGAGGCCTTCAGCTGGCACTGCTGGGGCTGCAGAGTGTCCCCAGGGTGGGTGGGTGGTAGCAGGGCCTGTGGAATCCTGCTGCAGGGGTGGACGAACTCTTTAAGTAGGGAAGGCACTTGAGACCCATCCCAAGGAAAATGAAGACCACGAGTAACATTCTGTTCTTCTGAGGGAGAGTGATGAGGATCAGAAAAAAGCAGCAGAAATTTCCTAGTAAGAAAATCATTGGGGGAGTAGGAGAAGTCTGAAGGCTCACAGGGAGTTGGCGGAGGCTGGTCTCGAACCAGGGAGGGAGGGCTGGCTTTGTTTGAGGCAGGAGAAGGGCAGTGGGCAGATCAGCCACAGGGTAATCAGCTGACCTCTCAGTCTCCTTTCCTTTCCCGTGGTGGCTTCCACTTTCTAGAGTTGTTTCTCCCAGCCTTCATTCTCCAGCATAAGTCCCTTTAGGGAGTGAGTCAGATCAGGCCAACCTTTGGCCCACCTGGCTGTCTTGAGGACTTCAGGATTGTATAAGGATTGGAGTGAAAAGGAAACAGAAATCTGAGTATAAGATACACCCGTGGCAACATCAGTCCTTGCCATGGAGAGCACAGGCTGGGGGGTCAGACTGCTTGAATTGCAAACCTGCCGCTGCCATTGGAATCTTGGTCAAATTACTTAATCGCTCTGCATCTCAGTTTTGTTGTCTATAAATGGGGATAATAACCTCTAAGATGGTTGTGAGGATTAAATGATGGTTTGGCATGGTATCTGGCTCATATTAAGCGCTCAATAAATATTAGCTATTAGATGTGATTCCCTCCTTCCATTCTCTTCTGTCTCTCCATACTTGTCCTTTTCTCCTTTTGTTCTCTTCTGAATCTTTAGTTCTGAAATACCCCCTTGGTTGTGGAAGCTGAGAAGAATTGGTTGCATCTTGATTGGCTTTCCATTGACCAGGTGAACACATGGTAATTAAGTGGTCAGTTGTCTCTCATTGTCTTAATTTACAGATGTGCTTTGTTCCGGGCAAAACCAAGAATCTACTTTTCTTAAAGTCCCTTTTCCTCGTTCCTTTCCGACACATCATTTCTGTAGATTCTCACTCAAACGTATTAAGGTCCTAGTTGTGGGGGCAGTGCTGCAAGTGAGGTAGGGACAGGTGTTTCTGGAGAGAGTCCATAGCACGCATGGGGGTGGCGCTGAGTGGAGGCCCTTGGAAGTTCCATAGTCATGTATGTCCATTCCATTGCCTTGCCTTTTGTGAGGAACTTTCCCAAACAGGCCAGTTTCTGAATCCTGGCCAGGGTTCTCCATTCCAAATAGAAGATGGTCATATTCAGTTCAGTTTTTTTATGTAGCTTCCCCAAGCCAATATTTGATTCTAGTTCCCTTTCCCCAGCCACAAAGCCCTCTGCCAAGCCGCTTTGCTGTCATCACAGCAGACTACTCAACAGAATTTATACAAATGAACCTGGGTGTGCGTGCACACATCTGTTTTAGGCTCTTCTGCTACGTAAAAATCAGTAAGGGTAGGGTGAGTCTGCACTTTATCACAAACTTGACACCTACCAAAGGAGAAACATTACCCCTGAAGGTAGGGAGATCTCCACCCAAGAGGGGAGACAGGCTGTCCCAGCAACGAAGCACTAAGCAAACATCCACAGAGTAGCTTGTCACTGCAGAGGGGTGCGGCATTTCTCCTGAGGGGACACAGGAAGGTCGGAGTGTATCTGTGGAGAATAGTCATAAAGATAACTTGAGGTGAATTTTGGTGACAAAGTAAGAGACAGTGGAATAAAGGAAACTGGAGTAATGTAACTATTCCTGTGCAGAGAGGAGGAGGCAGCGGTTGAGTCAGGGCGCGCTAAGAGTGTAGGTTAAGTCTTGTTGAAATACTTTAAATGTTAGAAGCTGTGTGGGATAGACGATAGGGAGCCCTCCTGGTTCCCAAACAAAATGTTGGATTCTTGCTGATCTAACTACGTAAGTTACAGGGGGTGTGAAGTGAAAAAACAAAAACAAAAAAAACAGGCTTTCCTGTGGCAGGGGTTGTGCTTTTAATGTCTGAAATGCAGATTGGATCCTCTTTGACTGCCCTAACCAGTGGTGGGACCTGATCATTCCCCCTTCGATTTTTCATCTGAAAAAAGGGGTCTACCCCGTGTGCTTGCTAGGTTTGCCTCCAGCCCTGGCTGTCTTCCTCGCATAAACTGGGCCTTACCAGTCAGTGACTGCTTTCTAGGGCCTGCAAAGGCCATTTAATCACTAAGTCTTTTGCACCTACTGTGTGTGGGTCTGAGGTGGTGAGGAACATGCAGTGTGGGTAGGCTCATGAGAACAAAAACAAAGTCCCTGCCCCTTTGGTTTTCAGGCAGTAGCAGAGAAGTCCTTGATTCTGAGACACACATTTTACACTGCTGAAGTCAAGATACATCTTAAAATTGATGGAGTGTTTAATTTGCAGCATTTTTAAAAATGAGCGTGACATAAAATACCAAGATACAGTTGCAATTGTACAAATAACTGTAAAATTTCAGTGGGTAATTGCTGAGGGACAGGTACCCCGTGTTTGAGCTCTAGCTGGTCCACTGAGTTGGGAGCAAGGCCTCTTGAGGAAATGGCGCCTTACAGATGTGAAGGATACTTCAGTCAGGTGTGGGCTGGGCAGGGCGATTGCCCCATAGAAGTGGATACACCTGAGGTGGAGCACCACCCCAGGTTAGCACGATGGCCCCAGGTCAGCACCGCGGACTGGCTGAGCTGTTTAGAGGCAGACCTGCCCCACACAGCCTTGTAGGCCTCAGGCGCAAGGGCTTTGGTCTTTACCTTGAGAACAGTGGGCGCTCTGGTCCGAGGTGCATTATGATGGGCTTCAGGTTGGGGTAGATGTGGGGAAACCAGTTGGGAGACCACTGCAGTTGGGCAGATGGAGTAGTGGTGGTGTAGGAGGAAATCGAGAAAAGTAGATGATTTAGGAAACCTTCATCTAAAAGGTGAACTCAGATAATAATAACAATAATAATGATAACAAGGAAGAGGGAGAAGGGACCAAAAGATGGTTCCATGGCATTCAGCAAGTAGAGGGGACCTAAGGCTGCTTCAGGTAAGAAGGTGTGGCACAGAGAACTGGTTTTTCTCCTCTTTTCCTTAGTGTCTACTTTTCCATGCTGAGGACAGTTTTAGGGGCAGGTAATAGGTGACTCAGGTTGGCACAGTTTGGTTTATCACCTTCTGTTAGAACAAGATGGGCTGGGAGAGAGAGAAGACAGGTGTTGCTAAGACAGTCGAGAAAGCATTACTAAGTGCGGCACCTTCTTAACCTAGGGATAGTTGGGAGAGGAAGTTTGGGCAACGGTGAAGTGGCAGCTCTTCAGCTACCACCTGGAACTCCTTTCTGTGTGTCCCTCCCTCCTCAAGCAAAGAGGAGGAAGGACAGAGCCTTTAAGCATCTGCAAACTGTGATTCACTTCAGGCTGGTGACTGGTAATATGTGTGCACATTCAAAAGTCACCAGAAGGTGTACAATGGGAGGCCTGGCTTCCACTTCTGTCCCCTTCCTACTGATTTCTTGTGTGTCATCTTTTGTTTCCAGTTTTTATACAAGTAGTATAATTTGCTGCACTTTTGTTTTTTTCCCCTCACTTGTTAAACCTCAAGGATTGTTCCATGTTGAGACAGTGAGCTTCTTCATTCTTTCTGTGGCTGCATAGTATTCCATTTTATGTTTGTGTATAATTTCATAATTCCATACTGATGGATATTTAGGCTCATTCCAGTCTTCTATTTTTACAAATAATGCTGAACTGGAACTCTTACCTACCATTTTGGCCATAGGCCTTTTCTATAGAATGAATTTTTAGAACTGGAAGTTTCCATATAAAGCTTAGTTCCTTCATTTGTTTACTTGTTCAATATTTATTGAGTACCCACTATGTGCCAGACACTGAGGCAGGTCTCAGGAATCCAGCTTTCAGCAAGCGAGGGGCTCCTGCCCCTCATGAAATTGGAAGGATCTGCTTTAAATAGAAAAACTTTTAGCAGATGATATTTGAACTGAGAATTAAAAGATGAGATGTGCACAGGAACCCCGGCTTGTTCAGTGCATCATCCTGGGAAGATGAGTTCAGGATCTGTAGGGGAGAGGGTGAGCACCGAGAGGGGGGTAGGGGAGAAAAGCCAAAGTGTGGAGGAGGTGGTGGGGGTGGAAGAGGTCACAGAGGGAGTGACTTCAGATGGGACCTGTTAGTGGGGGCTGCTGGTGGTGAAGGGGGAATTGGGAGACTCAAACTTACAAGTGACTTCGTGGTTAGAGGGCTTTGGGATTGAATCTCTGTGGCTGACTGAATTCAAGTAAGGAAAAGAGAAGCCAATTCCTGAGTGCTTTGGGGAAGGCCCAGCCTTGCCCACAGGCAGGGGAATGAATGAAAAGCCTCTGGTAGTGTCTCCTACATCTTTCTGGTGACTTTGGCAAAGTGGAAACTTCCAAACTAAAGATGACGTTGAAGGGTCTTAACTAGCTGGCTCTGAGCTCACAGAAGCAGACCTGCCTTGGTCTCCAGGCTGGAGGCGGGCAGGCACTTGCACTTGGAGACCCTTCTTCTGAACTTTGTGCTCCTTTTCATCCTCACCCCTCTGCTTCCCTTCTGCAAAAGCCCATCTCTTTGCCCGTCCTGGGTCCTATGACTTTTCTCTCCCTCAACAGTCGGTTCCCGATTCTGGTCCCCGGCCCCCTGCAGCGCCTGCCCCCTTCCCACCGGGGCCCCCCATGATGCCACCACCCTTCGTAAGTTTTATGTCTTCCCCTGGGCTTGGCTTTTCCAGCCTGCACCCCCAACTCCCCGGTCCCTAGCTCTGCTGCATCGCCAGCATGGTTTTTGTGTAACTCCCCTTTTGTGACCTTTGAAAGGTAGTGGTTTGGAAGAGGGATGGATTTGCTTGGGTATCGGGTGGGAGGAGTTGCGGTTCAGCTCTCCGTTGTGAAGTCGACCGCGGTCCCCTTTGTCTTTGTCCTTGGGACAGTCTGGGGCTGGGAGAGGTGGAAGGGAAAAGACCCTGACAGTGTGAGTGCCCGGAGGCTGTCTTTTTCTTTCACTGCTCCTTATCTGATCTTTAACTATGCCACGCAAGTTAGGCTGGAATGACAATTGGTGATCTTCGAATTGGAGACAAATGGGATGCAGAACAGGGCAGTTTGGGTGCCTGGACACCTGCCTCTGGCCCTGCATCTGAGAGGCCTCTTTGGGGAGAGTTGCAGAAGAGGTGGATTTCTTCCAGCCGCAGTCTGGTGGCCTTCCTTTCCCTCTCCCTTCCCTACCTCTTAGGGAGCTGTACGCTTGCCTTTTAGACTCAGAGGAAGCCCCGGTTACCAGTCTTTCTCAGTAGTGAGAAGGGAGGCAGTTTCATGCTTTATATTCCTCAAACTACAGCTCAGGAATTGCCTCACAGCTGGGGTAGTGTTGGGGTGGCAGGTGGGTTTCCTGTCAGTCCAAGGCAGTGTCTTTACTGCTCAGTATCTCTTCTTTTCCTCATTTTCAGATGCCCCCTCCAGGAATCCCCCCACCCTTTCCTCCAATGGGGCTACCCCCCATGAGTCAGAGACCACCAGCCATCCCCCCCATGCCACCTGGCATCATGCCCCCCATGCTTCCACCAATGGGAGCACCACCTCCTCTCACACAGGTAATCCTCGTCCTTCACCAGGGCCTCAGTCAAGTTAGCTGGGAGTGGAGATGAGAGTGGATACCTGACCTCAGAAACTGGGTGGGAAGGGCGCTTCGGACCCGTGCGGACTTGTCTGCTGGTTGATGAGGAAGCACTCAGGCTGCGCTGCGAGTCCAGAACCCGGGAGTGGCCGCTCTCACCTTGGTAGCTGGTTTTTGTCTTCTTTGTATCCATAGATACCAGGAATGGTACCACCAATGATGCCAGGAATGCTGATGCCAGCGGTGCCTGTCACCGCAGCGGTAAGCCCTAGGGGCCGGCAGGCAGCAGGTCCTGCCCTGCAGTCCTGTGGGTCTGACTTGGAGTACAGGGACATGGCCGCCATCTTTCCCTCTTCACGTTGGCTCCGTCCTGGCCCCTGGTGGCACGCCCCTACTTGAGACCGCCTCTCCAGCCATGTACTCTCAGCTCTTCTGCTGTCGCCACTCTCTTGGCCACCCCTCAGTGCCCAGCTCCCTAAGGAGCACTCACACCTGACACCCCTTACCCTTGCAGAACTGGCGCTGTGGACAATAGGACTTGATCTCTTCACGTCTTCTGTGTCTCTGGAGGAGGCACCTGGGGATCTCGTTGTGCCTTTTGCACAATATTTCAGTGGTCAAGTCTGGGCAGGATGCAGAATTTGGCATCCACATGGAAGAGAAGGGCCTTAGAGGTTGACTTAAAATACTGTCACTTGAGGAAGGAGAGCGTTGTTGCTGTGTGATTCCCCTTGGGAACCTGGAGCCACAGCCCTCATGGGTGGGGGGGCCTGTAATGGAGCAGAGATCCCTGGGAGCAGGACTCCTGGGTCCCGGCCCGGCCTGCTTCTCCATTCCCCATGGCCTGGGTCCTGGGGGCCACCGGGCTTGGCCCCAACCCTTCCCCCTCCTCTTTCTTCGGCAGACGGCTCCGGGTGTGGACACCGCCAGCTGTGAGTCTTCTGGGGGCCTGCTCCCCCCAGGCTCGGAGGTTGGGGGGCACAAGGGCAAGGGGACCACGGCTAGAGCCTTCCCTGGATCATGCCTGTTGGGAAGCCAGGGAGTCTGGGATGTTGACGGGAATAGGGGATGTTTTGGGGATGGGGTACGGGAGGATGGACTAGGAGGAGCTGAGATGGGGTTTGGGCCCAGGGCTTAGTATGTTTCCTTTGGCTTTTTTTTCTAGCTGCTGTGACTGGGACAGGCCCTCCGGTGAGTTCTGACCCAGCGGTCTGTGGGTAGAAAGGCTGAAAGTTGAGAGCTAGTGGTTAAATCTGTGGAATGAGGGGGACAGACTTGGGGAAAAGGGGCCTTGACCACAATTCTGTGCCTCCCCCGTCCCCAGAGAGCCCTGTGGAGTGAGCATGTGGCCCCCGACGGGCGTGTCTACTACTACAATGCTGACGACAAGCAGTCTGTTTGGGAGAAGCCCAGCGTGCTCAAGTCTAAGGCCGAGGTCCTGAGTGGAACTTTTTGGCCCTTCTTTCAGCTGCCCTGACCCGGTCAAGGACTGGCCTTCCCTGAGTCTCTAGACACATTATAGTTCCTTTGATCCCCAAGCTCCCTAGGCTCTCAGGAAGGCCACCTCTCCCAGGTTGAGCCAGGCCAGATGGTAGCCAAAAACTCCCATGTTTCCCTCATTAGTCCCTTTGGTTCTACCAGCCCGAACTAGAGATTCTACCAGCCCGAACTAGAGAGCGTGTTCAGTCCACAAATGTCCTCTGACCTCTGACCTGTCCTCCTACAGCTGCTGCTGTCTCAGTGTCCCTGGAAAGAATACAAGTCAGATACAGGCAAACCTTACTACTATAACAACCAGAGTAAGGAGTCCCGCTGGACCCGGCCCAAGGACCTGGATGACCTGGAGGGTGAGGTGGGGATGGACTCGGGAAGGGGCTCTGGGGCTCTGGTGCATGCCCTTGTTACCTATGACCATATTATCTTCTCCCATTGCAGCTCTAGTCAAACAGGAGGCTACAGGGTGAGTGACTTCCTTACCTGAATACTTGGGGCCCCTGAGGGGTAGGCGGGAACTGCCCCATGGATCCCTACTCCGTAGGAGAAAAGTGTCATAGTCTCTTCATGGAGTAGCCTACTCTGGCTTTGGTGTAGCCCACCCAACTGCCTCTGTCCCTGCGCTTCTGGACACTGTCCTTCTGGTGCACCCACAGGAAACAGCAGCAGCAGCCACAGACATTACAGCCTCAGCCGCCTCAGCCTCAGCCTCAGCCTGACCCGCCTCCTGCACCTCCTGGCCCCGCTGCGGCGCCCACGGACCTCCTAGAGCCTGAGCCAGGTGGGAATGAAGATTGTGATGTGTCAGAGGCTACCCAGCCCCTGGAGCAGGGGTTCCTGCAGCGGCCAGAGGAGGGCTCCAGCAGGTGAGGACTGCCCCTCGAAACCCTCCGTGGCTTTGTGGTTGCTGATCTCAGGTTCTGACCAGATTCTAGCTTGGACAGGGGTGTGAAGGTCTGGGCATGACCTCTGAGGGGCAGAAAGGGCTGCCCTGGGGAGCAAAGAGGGAGTGGTGTGCTGCTGATCACATGGGCACTAAAATCTGCAGGGACTGGGGGACGCTGTGGCTGAGTCCCCTTTGCCCCCCAGTTCTGCTGGACAGCATCAGCCACCACAGCAGGAGGAGGAAGAATCAAAGCCAGAACCAGAGAGGTCTGGCCTCAGTTGGAGCAACCGGGAGAAGGCAAAGCAGGCCTTCAAGGAACTGCTGAGGGACAAGGTGCTGGGGTGGGGCTCCCGGGGTAGGCATGGAGGGGGCTGGAGGTGGGCAGGCCCCGTGACTCCCACCTGCTCCGTTCTAGGCTGTCCCCTCCAATGCCTCGTGGGAACAGGCCATGAAGATGGTGGTCACGGACCCCCGTTACAGGTAGGCCTGGGCAGAGGGATCCAGGCTCTTCAGCCCCTGTTCTTGAGTGCATCTGGGCCAGGGACTCCCCAAGCTCAATACTCAGGTCCCAAGGGGGCCCAGAGTCAGGAGAGTGGTAGATGGGTGATGGTGCAAGGGAAGAGACACCGGAGGGCCTCCAGGAGGAGGGGAAAGGTATCTGACTTGAGACATTCAATAAATGCTTGTTGACTTGAATTGATTTGATTTGAATTAATTGGGCAAAGAGGGGGCTGGTTGGGGCAGGAGCGTGGCTGCGACTTGAAAACCCCAAAACTAAAGGGCCCAGGATTAACAGTGTCTTGGAGCGCCACCTGCCCCTCAGACTCCCACATCCTGGAGACCGGTCTGGGCTCCCGAGTGCCCTTGGAGCCCCTGCCGCCTACGATGCCCACGCATGGGCCCTCACGCAGTTCTTGGAGGCGCGTCCCCGGTGCCGTGATCCTGCTCTGTGGGATGTGCTGCGTACTTAGCTGACTCCTATGTCCCCACCCTCTCCACCTCAGTGCCTTGCCCAAACTGAGTGAGAAAAAGCAGGCATTCAATGCCTACAAGGCGCAGCGGGAGAAGGAAGAGAAGGAAGAGGCCCGGCTTAGGGCTAAGGAGGCCAAGCAGACCTTGCAGCATTTCCTGGAGCAGCATGAACGCATGACTTCCACCACCCGCTACCGGTCAGGGGGCCAGGCTGGGGTGGGGCGTGGGGACCCTGAAACTCCCAGGCCCAGGGTCTCTGTTTTCTGCCTCCTACCATGGCCCATGTGCTCCACAGGCGGGCGGAACAGACCTTTGGGGAGTTGGAGGTCTGGGCGGTGGTCCCTGAGAGGGATCGGAAGGAGGTCTATGATGACGTCCTCTTCTTCCTGGCCAAGAAGGAGAAGGTAACAGCCTGGACTAGACCCATTCTTGGTCCTCCTCTGTCCATGTCCCCAGGGACCCAGCTCCTTATTGGAGTTGGTGTGGCGCGTCCCCCTTTCTGCTCTGGGCCCCTGCCCTGGGTGTGGGGGGACAGGAAGGAACCTCTGAGGGGCTGGTCTGGAACCTGTGCTCCTTCCTCGTTCCCGGGACACGAAAGCCAGAGTCTGGCTCTCCGAAAGTGCCCTAGTCACTTGCGTTTTCCTCGAGTCCTCCCCTGCCAGGTCCACTTGAGTAGTCCTGGCCTGCCCTCCCTCACCCTGACCTGGTGGCTCCCCAGGAACAGGCCAAGCAGCTCCGGCGGCGTAACATCCAGGCTCTGAAGAGTATTCTGGATGGGATGAGTAGTGTCAACTTCCAAACTACATGGTCCCAGGCTCAGCAGTACCTTATGGATAACCCCAGCTTTGCCCAGGACCATCAGCTGCAGAGTAAGCCTGGGTCTCCATTCTCACTTGCCCTTTACCTTTCCTCACTGACCTGGGCCCCAGAGCCTGCCTCACACAGCTCCCTGCACATCCTGGGTTCCCGGACGCCCAGAAGTCCCCAGTGTCACTCAACCCTTGTACCTCTCCTCTGCTCTCGAGGTTCTAATGCTTCAGGACAAGCACCTTCCCCCGCTCCATCCCCAGCCCACTATTGATCTTGCCATTGTGCTTCCTTGGAGAGATGGGTGTCAAAAGTCCTGGAGATGGAGGATTTTTATAGCTCATGTGAATGTGTTCTTGAGTCGTCATGGCTTTAACCATGGCCTTAACTGGTCAGAGATGTTATGGTCAGCTGTTGTTGGCCTGTAATCACTGGCTGTATCAGAATTTTGCTTTCTGAAGTTGCATCAAAGCCTGATGGACTCCTAGGTCAGTAAAATTTGAAACCTAAGATTCTCTGTTAACTGTTTCATATGTTGAGACTTCAATAACCAAATTCACAAGAGCTGAATACTTGCTGATTTTTTTCTCATGCAATTAGTGAATCCTCAAGTATCACCATTCCAGTAACTTCTTCCAGAATGCCCTTTACCACCACCCTGGGTGTCCCTGTCACTTACAGGGGCAGCAGCCTGGAAACACTGTGGGGTCGTGGGGCCTGGGGGTGTCTCACAGGAGTGGGTGCCTGTTGAGCCTCCTTCCTGCCATTAGACATGGACAAGGAAGATGCACTGATATGCTTTGAGGAGCACATCCGAGCTCTGGAGAGGGAGGAGGAGGAGGAGAGGGAGCGGGCCCGGCTCCGGGAGCGGCGCCAGCAACGCAAGAACCGGGAGGCCTTCCAGGTACCTGTACCCTCTGGGCCAGAGCTCGGCTCTGCCCAGGCCCCAGTCGCCACCTGCCACCTCCCGGCCAGGTTCACTGTTTGGTCTGTGCTCGCACCTGAGTCTGCCGGAGGCCCTCCGGTGCCCGAAGTACCGCTGCTGTGGTGTCCCCTCAGCTCCGGCCATGCTTCTCTAGGAGAGTAGACGTGTGCGCCATCAGGGCATTGCCAGGCGACAGCCCCCCTCACAGCATGGCTTGACAGCCAAGCCCCGTTTATTTCCCGTTTGTGGGGCTCCAGGCAGGCAGAGCACTTTACCCCCCAGCTTGGCGGTAGCAGTGGTGTAGTGGCGGGGGTTCTTAGCTGTGACACACTGAAAAATAAAACCAAGTCCTGGGAGGATTGTGCTGCGGGCAAGTTTCTGTTTCTTTGCCTCCCAGCCCGCCCCTTCTCACGTCTTTGCCTGTCTCTCCATCTTGCCCTCTCGCTCGTTGCTCTCCGCTCCCAGCCTGTGTCCCCTGTCGCCTTCCTTGCAGTCCCCAGTCTGGATCGCGCCTTCCGCCTCCTGCATCCCCTCTCCTCCTCCCCAGTCTCCGCCCGCCTCTCGGTCTCACTCTCCCTATAACTGGCCTCTCCCTGCTCAGACCTTCCTGGACGAGCTGCACGAGTCAGGGCAGCTGCATTCTATGTCCACCTGGATGGAGTTGTACCCAGCGGTCAGCACTGATGTCCGCTTTGCCAACATGCTGGGCCAGCCGGGTAAGGCAGCCAGGCTCCCCCTTCTCTGGCCTGGCTTCCTGCCCTGCCAGCCTCTCCACACCCCCACTCCTGGTCCTATCCTCGACCCTATCCCCTGGCCTTGGGAAGCTGCCGCCCGCCAGGCCCCCCCCTCCTCCCCCACAGGCTCCACCCCTCTGGACTTGTTCAAATTCTATGTGGAGGAGTTGAAGGCACGGTTCCATGATGAGAAGAAGATCATTAAGGACATCCTTAAGGTGAGGGAGGCCTGGGCTTAGCTGGCTGCAGCCAGTTGTGCGTTCCTAGGGTTCCCTGCTGGGCCCCACCCTGCGGGCGTCCCTCTCCTTCGGCAGGTACCTAGTGGGGCCTGCAGACGGAGTCAGGTAGTTTCTGCCCACGAGAAGCTTATGGCCGGTAGGAAGGTGGGCATGACAGCTGCTCGAAGGGACGGGCTGTTCCAGAGAAGAGACTCCAAGATTCTCACTAAAGCTGCTGAAGTGGGAGGGGGAAGATCGAGAGCAAAGGCGAGGAGGGACCTGGAGGGCTGAGGAGTGGGAAGCGCAGCTCGCACACCGGCAGCCGACTGGCAGCCCACCCTGCGTGCTCACCTGCGCCGTGCCTTCGGGGGGGAACTTAATGCTGACGTTCTGAAGTTTTCGATATTTTAAGAATTGGGATTGCCCTCACCAGTGTGGTTCTCTAGCTTCACTTGAAGTTTGGAGTTCTCGCAGCCCGGGGCTGGCTTTGTAAGGTTCATGGGCGCAGGCGGAGACGCCGCTGCTCTGAGAAAGGGGCCCCCCGTGTCGGCAGATGAACTGCTGCACCTGGCGGTAGGGTGGCCGTCTTAGGCTGCAGGAATCGTTCTCAACTGTGCCTAGCACGGCGGACGAGTGAGTTGCGGACCAGGAGAGCCCGGTAGGAAACAAAGAACATACTGCGCTGAGAAAGTCTGGGGCATTCTTAATGCACTTGAGGCAGTGCGGGGTAGTGGTCAGGGAGCAGGGTGGAGGCTGGCTGCATGCCAGGCCTCAAGGTCAGCTTAGCCAGTTGTGTGTTCCTAGGCAGTTAGCCTTGGTTTCCTCATCTGCTGAGTGGGGAGTGCCCCACCACACTACGCCTGATTGCCCAGGGGATGAGGAGCTAATGATAAAGCCAGCAGTGTCCTCTGCACTGAGAGCATTTCTTCGAAGCCCTGTGTTCTGCCGTACAAACCCATGCAGGTATGGTACTTCATGCCATGTTGCCTTCCTGTGACATGTAAAGAATATTTTAACGTCACCGTTAGGCAAGATGTATCCTATCTGTGGCTTCCTGTTTTTCTGGAGCCACAGACCCCAGTTTGGAAGTAGCACCCTATGTGTGACATGCCTTGAAGCAAACATGAGAAATGTTTGTCTTGTCAGCATTGGGGAGCCGGGGAAGTTCAGGTTCAGACGGTGCCTGTCTGCGAGAAGCTTGGTGTGTTGTGCCGAGGGCAACATCCTTAAGGGGTGGGGAGAGGAGCCTCGGGGTGCTGCAGTGATTCAGATGAGCTTTGAGCGGGAATCATCTTCTGCTTCCCACCAGACCTCCCCTGTGCTGGGCTGTTGGTGAAACATCAGCGCAGCACTTTGTGCTCAAGGCTGGGCAGGCGGCTGGGAAGTGAGTGCGGAGGCCAGGGGGGAGAGCAGCCCACAGAAGGTGCGGGGAGGGCGGGTGAGAGGTCGGCGGTCAGCGGTTTTCTGAGACACCCAGAACAGTAGGGGGGTGAGTTGAGGGAGGGTTTGATTTCCCGTCCTCCATTTTCAAGTATGGAAGCTTACTTTTCTTTTATACATGGGGATTCTACATAAAATTTTTATTAAAAGTAAGGTTCTGCTAATAAAAGTGCAAAACCATGAGGACAGTCATTCAGAAACAGTCTTGCATGGTGTGTGTGTGTGGAGTTGAGGGAAGGAAGGAGGGATGGACGTGGGCATGGCAGGACAGTGGCACCATGGATAAGGGTGGAGCAGGAAGAACGGGGCTGGAGAAAAGAAAATTCCGCTTGGGAAGTTCCTCTCAAAAGCAACAGGGCACGGGGGATAAAGCAGCACCGTGCTGTGGACTTAGTTACTATGTACAGCAGCAGCTGGTGCCGGAGGCCGCTGCTGACCACCTCTCCGCGCGGGGTGGCTGGCCTGAGTGTGCACGAGGCTGTCCTCAGAGTCCCACCTAAGAGACGCTCGGGAGCATTCCCCTACCTGTGCCCCTTCGGGGCTCCTGCCAAGGGAAGGCAGGTGAGCCCAGAGGACCCTGTGGCACCCAGCTGCCAGCACACCGTGATAGCCCCTCGTCCTGTGGGAGAAAGCCAAGCACCCCGACACCGAACGGCTGGAAGATAGAAGGGCTGGGCCTGGAGAGCTGCGGGGGTGGGGCCGTGGGAAAGGCCGAGTTGAAAGTTATCCATGAAACATCATTCGAACATGCGTCTGGGAACAGGAGAGAATTGGGGTGACCCCTAGAAACACTGCGGACAGTGAGTGAAAAAGGGTTGTTTTCAGGGGGACAAGCATGTGCTGCTGTTGAGAGGTGGTGAAAGGTCAGGAGGGGACCCCCGAGAGGGGAGTATTGAAGAGGTGAACAGCGGGGTGCGTGAGGACTGAGAAGGGGCCCTTGGAGTTGGCTGTTAGGGTGCCAGCCCCTCTGGAGAGCAGTGTCTGAAGAGGGAGTGGGTGCAGCGTGGGCTGGGAGCCAGGCAGCTCCTGGCTGCCGGTGGGTGGGGACCTCATTTCCTCGTCTGTAAAATGGGAGCAATTTATGTGCAAGCTGGTAAGAATCACATTTCTGTAAAGCGTCTTAGCGTAGGCTCAGTAGTGCGGATTCCTCTCCTCTGTGTTGCATTTACAGAGGTTTTGGACACGAGGAACAGCAGCGCAGTCTTAGCTTGGGGGCGGCGAAAGCAGGGTCGCGGTGCTCTAGGGTAAGTGGGGTGTGTGCCTGACGGAGCCAGGGCAGGAGCGAGATTGCAGCTTCCCGTTCCTGAGAAGGGCTTGAGAGCGTGGCTAGAGGAAGCCTCTTGAGGTGCAGAGCGAGCGGTGCCTCTTCGGCGCAGGGAGGCTGCATGTGGGGCCCGTGGTCCCGCCGGCTGAGCGCCAGGCCCCACGCCGCAGGCGCCGTACATGCTGCGGTGTTGTCTGGGACAGCTGAGGACTTGCCCGCGCCTTGGCTTCACTCGGGCTCCTTGTGAAGCTCACGTGAGGAGCGTGGAGCCTGCCGACAGCTTCCAGGCGTTGGGGAGTTGCACAGGTGACGGTCTTCTCGTGGAGCAGCTGATCTAGTCCGTGGGCGTTGTGCCGTGGGCTGGAGCTCTTGCCCAGAGGACCCTAGCCTGGGGCGTGGGGGCCACTTTGCTTTCTCTGACCCTAGGCTGCTTCTGCATAGTTAGGAGATGGGGTCTTTGTTGAAGGTGTGGGTTAAATGCTGTGTGGGGTGCTTAGCACGGTACTGAGTGTTTCGTAAGCGCTCAGTAAATAGAGGCCAGGGCAGGGGCCAGCGGATATTGCTGGAGAATGTGTGGAAGTTATGAGCAGCAGGAGGGCCCTGCAGGGACCCAAGATTTCAGCCAAAGGAACAAAGAGCTAATTGTGAGAAACCCGGGTGTCAGTCAGCACAGGGAGACACGCCACCCTGCTCACCTCCCGGAGGGAGCCAGTGCCCCGGGCTCCCTGTGCCAGCCGAACCCAGGTGGGTGGGGCCGGGGGCTCGTCAACCGTGAGGGTCTGGAGGACATCTTTTCTGAAGTGTCTCAGTCCTGTGGTTCTCTTCTGGGGTCAGGGGTCTTCTCGGGTGTCTGGTAGCCCGACCCTCTGCCCGCCCCCGAGGTTGGCTTTGCACCTCAGCTGGCGGTGCTGAGCGTGCCGCTGTGCTCACAGGACCGGGGCTTCTGCGTGGAGGTGAGCACAGCCTTTGAGGACTTCGCCCACGTCATAAGCTTTGACAAGAGGGCTGCTGCGCTGGATGCAGGCAACATCAAGCTCACCTTCAATAGTGTGAGGGGCTGGACAGGGTGGGGTGGAGTGGGCCCCTCGTGGTCTGACCCTTAGCACTCACTGTCCCCATTGGGTGAGTCAGCAGGGGGGCGGGGGTGACAGTAGGGGCCGGAACCCCAACCTCCTAAGGTACCACAGGGGACCCAAGCATACCCCCCCTCGCCCCCCATCCCGGGTGACCCTGTTCCTCGCTTCCTGCTGTCAGCTGCTGGAGAAGGCCGAGGCCCGGGAGAGAGAGCGCGAGAAGGAGGAGGCGCGAAGAGCACGGCGCCGGGAAGCAGCCTTCCGGAGCATGCTGCGGCAGGCCGTGCCTGCGGTGGAGCTGGGCACCGCCTGGGACGAGGTCAGGGCCGCCACCCCCGCCGGGTCCCCGCCTCAGCCGCGACCTGCCCTGTGCTCACGGCCTCCCTGACATGCGGATGTGCTAATCAGTAGCGTGCTCGTCCCCGTTCAAGGTCCGTGAACGTTTTGTGTGCGACTCGGCCTTCGAGCAGATCACGCTGGAGTCGGAGCGGATCCGGCTCTTCCGGGAGTTCCTGCAGGTACTGGAGGTGAGGCGGTGCTTCTCCTCTGTCTGACCCGCGCGTGACCACCTGAGGGCAGCTGAGCAGGGGCCTCACCCCTGGGCCTCTCCTTTTGTGGAATAACTGGAGGTGAGGTCTCAGGGTACCCCAGGATAGACCTAAGGCCCTGGGAGGAGGTAAAACCGGATTTTAGGATGCAAGGTCCTTGCTAGGGCTAACCCTAACCCTTCCTCACCCCTCCCCCTGCCTCTGCCAGACCGAATGCCAGCACCTCCACACCAAAGGCCGAAAACATGGCAGAAAGGGCAGGAAGCACCACCGCAAGCGTTCCCACTCGCCCTCAGTGAGTTGGGGGATGGAGGGCATGCGGGCGAGGCTGGGCTGTCTTGGGGGAGAACCACTTTTCTTGTTCTGTGGTAATTCATCTTCCCTGGAGATTTGGGGACCACCTTGCCCCTGGACCCCCTCTGTACCCCCAGGCTGGAGGACTTTGATGGGACAGAGAGCCCCCGCTGACATGTCTGCTGATCTGCCTAGGGCTCCGAGTCAGAGGAGGAGGAGCTGCCCCCACCACCTCTCCGGCCCCCCAAGCGTAGAAGGCAGAACCCCTCAGAGTCAGGCTCAGAACCCTCTTCCTCACTTGATTCGGTTGAAAGTGCGGGTGCTGTCCCTGGAGGACGGGGCTCCCCATCTTCCCACCTGCTCCTTGGATCCGGTAAGCAGTTGGTGAGGTGCTGGCCCAGAGTGAGAGGAAGCCCCTGACGTGTGGGGGCAGGGCGGGTTGGGAGGCCGCACCTGTCAGTGGGGTGCAGGAGTTGGGGAAGCAAAACTGAACTTCCTCAACGTGTCTGAGGAGCGAGCACTGGCTGTGGTAGAGAAAAGGCGGCTTCCTCCCTTCTCCCACAGGACTTCGGCTTTTTCTCTCCCCAGATCATGGCCTTCGGAAAGCCAAGAAACCAAAAAAGAAAACGAAGAAGAGAAGACACAAGTCGGTGTGTAGAGAAGGAACTTCTGTCCAAGGCCCTGCCATTTTGAGATCTCTTCCACCCGCCTCCCGGGCTGTCCTTCACAGGAACTGAGGAGGCGGGCTCTGGGCTCTTACAGAACAGTCCTGAGAGCGAGACAGACCCCGAGGAGAAAGCTGGCAAGGAGAGTGATGAGAAAGAACCAGAGCAGGACAAGGACAGGGCGCTCCGGCGGGCAGAGCGCCCTAACCGCTCTCCAGGCTTTGGAATCAAGAAGGAGAAGGTGAGAGGCAGGCACCGGGCCCCGGCCCTGTCAACGCTCTGACGAGGCCTCCACGGCCCTGGGGAGGCTTTGGGTGAGCTGTGCCTTTGCTCCACCAGACGGGCTGGGACACGTCCGAAAGTGAGCTGAGCGAGGGCGAGCTGGAACGGCGGCGGCGGACGCTCCTGCAGCAGCTGGACGACCACCAGTGACCCGGCGGGCCGCCCTGCCTCGGGTCTGCGGCCGCGGCGCCCGGCTCTCCCTCGCCACCTGCCCCAGGCTCTTTCCTCGGTTCGGTCTAGTCCGCTCTTCCGCAAGTAGCCCCACCCCGACACTGCTGCCGGCGCCTTCCAAGGCGGCCTGCGGTGTTCCGGGGCCCCCCCGCCGGGCCAGTGCCGTCCTTGCCCTCCACCCCAGCCCAGACTGGTGGTGTATGCTGTGCGGGTGGGTGGGGCCAGTAGATAATACGTGAGCGGGGCTCCTGGGAAGTGACCTGCTGGTGGACACAGCCAGGGTGGCAGAGGGCGGCCCTTACCCTGCAGCATCAGTGCCTGCTCCTGCCTGCTGGGGCCCTGGGGCTCCTCTGCTTCTTCTTCCAGCCCCAGAACCCAGTGTCTGTGTGTTTGGTTTTGTTTTTTAAATAATATTTATAACATGGCCGGTGGCTCTTTTGTCTTTCACATATGCTGCCGGGCCAGGCCGGGCCGGGCCACCGGTGGCCAGCAGAGGGCAGCAGTGTCCCGCCGCAGGCCAACCTCCCTTTGTGTGACTGGGGTCCACCCACCCTGGCTCCCACCTCCCCCAGGCAGATGGCAGCTCTCCCCAGACTCCTTCCCACCCGGGCCGGGCCGGGCCACTCTGAGGCCGCCTCGTCCCCCCGCCCCACTCAGAGAGGAGACAGGCAGGCCTGGTGCTTCAAGCCTTTGTTTAAAGTGGGACGGTCTGAGGTTTATGTACAAGAGAGAAGGGAGGTGGTACATGTACAAAAAAGGAGGGGCCCCTGTGTGCCTTTGTAGGGGCTGAAAAGAAATTGGCAGAGACGAACAACTGGTCAGCTTAGCACCACCAACCTCCTGCCAAAGGAGCCCTGGCTGAGGAGAGAGGGTGCGGGTGACGTTGCCAGCCTTCCTCCAGCCAGGCCGACCTCCGCCTCCACCACGCGCAGGGCAGGACTGGCTCAGAGAGAAAAGGGCCCAGGCGGACAGGCTCTCCGCGGGACCCCTGCTGGGCACCTCTGTGCGGGGCCGGAGGGGACCTGATGCTGCAGGACTTTGTGTCTCTGGCGCGCAGCTGACCGTGGGGCGGTGAGCAGGAAGGGGCGGGAAGGTGGACTCGCCACCCGCTCTGAAGGCAGCAAGGCCTCGGTGCCTGGTTTTTAAGGCTGCGCGTGTTGTCCTCCCAGCCCCGTGCTGGCCCTTTAGGAAATAGTTGAAACCTTGGGGCAAAGTGCAGAAATGGAGGCACCAGGGAGGTGCCAGGTCCAGAAGCCCCAGCGCCCACAGCCAGGCGGCAGACACCAAGCACAGAGCTTCCTGTGTGTGCCCCGCCGACTTCGGGGCTCAGGGTCGAATGCCGCCGCCTCCAAGAGGCGTCAGTGAGGGCCTGGAGCCCGAGGAGGGCCACCGGGTGGTGCGGCGCTCTTGGCCTGCTGGCAGACGACGATGGGCTGGTGACGGAGGCCTGCAGGGAAGACAGAGGCCTGTGAGGAGGCGTGCAGGCCGGCCTGGCCCGCCCTCCGTAGACACAGCGCCGGCAGGAGTGGCCCCAGACAGCACAGCCACTCGCCAGGCTGAGGAGGGAAAGGCTTAGAGGTTGGAGGGAGGATGGGGTGGAGGTGGGGGCCGCGCTGATGGGCTCTGCGTTTTCAGAGGCCCGAGCGGGGGTGACTAGAGGCCACTGGGCCATCTGCAGAGACAAGGCAGAGCTCCACGAAGCCAGAAGCTGGACGAGATCCCGAGCAACCGGCTCTCAGGAAATGGATCCGGGGACACTGAGGCCCCGGAGAAGCTACCTGGAGAGCTGGAGGAGGCACAGCGGGCGCCGGGTGTGCGAAAGGAGCCTGCGGCGTCGCTCCGTGGTAGCCGGCCTCTCCTGCCCGCCCCGCAGAGCTCTCCAGCTCTGCCCCTCGCGTCTTAGTAGCCGGGACAGCGCTAGTGGAGAGACACCGCTTCCCCGAGGCACATGCAAGGAGAAAGCCATGCTGCTGGGGGCAAACGGAGGCGCCCGTCACCATGCTGCAGGTGGATCCCAGCCATGCAGAGGAGGAGGGCCTCGCCCGCAGGCATCCTGGGGGGCGGCATGCATTGGGCCGCTGCGGTGCCCAGTACCTGTCAAGGGCCCCACCGGGGTTAACAGTTTGACTCATCGTGGTGGGCTGCATCGCAGAAGAAGCGTGAGCCCCGCTTGGCGGTGCGGGCCGTGAAAGGGACACTCTTCAGCACTGTGGCCCAGGAGAGAGACAGGGTCAGGTCCCGGAGGTGGGGGTGTGGCTGGGGGCTGAGCCCGGGAGGGAAAGGGCCGCACCTGTGATGATGTCCTCGATGGTGCCGTCCTTGCCCTCGTACACGGGCCGGTGCTCCTTGGCCTGGCGCCGCCGCAGCTCTGCGATTAGCTCCTGCTGCTGCCACTTGTTCCGTTGGGATGGGGTCTAAAGTGGGGCATGGGAAGGGGAAGGGGGTCGTGGGGAGCCTGAGTGGACTGAGCCTGCCCTCCGTGCAGCCTGAGCACCGCCCACTGCCGGGAGCCCCCTCCCCCGGCGCCCTCCCAGCCCTCAGACTGCAGCCCAGGCCCTCTGGGTGGTCTGGAGCTCCTTTTCTGTCCTGTGTTCTCCGCTCCACCCACTCCTATTCCTTTGCCCTGTTCTCCAGGCCTCAGCTCTTGGTCCCACCCACCTTGGCATCCAGTTTCTTGGCTTCCTGAGCCAGCTGCTTCTCCCGCATTACCTCCTCCTGCTTTTTGCGGGCTTCATTCTCTTGTTCTGCTTCCTAAGAACCATGGGAGGTGGGGGTGAGGCTCGCAGGCGGTGAGAGGCGGGGCCGACAGGGTGGAGAGTGGGTGGCAGGGGGACGCTAACCCCAGGTGGCCACCCTGGAGGGGCACTTCCTGCTCCGAACAATGACAGGAAGGGCCTGGGCCCCCACCCTGCCCACCAGTTCACAGCTGAGAGGCCTGTGGCCGGCGTCCATCACTGCCTCCCAGGACTCGGAGGAGACGGAAAAGGCCCAGACTCGAGGCCCGCCCCTCTCCCTGCCCCAGATTTCTCCCCGTCACTCGTCACAGCAGCTCTTCCACTCACCTTGTAAGAACGAATGAACCGGACAAACACTGGGAAGAACACAGAAGGAGGTGTGGTCTTGGGGCTCTCACCGAAGTAGCGCACCACTGCGCTGTAGGCTTCCTGGGAAAGGGTGGCGCGTGGGTCAGCCCGGCCGGGGAGAGAGACAGGAGGCCCAGGGAGAGCAGACTCCGGGGCCAGGGCAGGAGCTAGCTGCCCCTCCCTGAGGACTACAAGCGAACTTGGGGCTCCCCACGAGGACATCTGCGCCCCTCGACACACACAGCTCTCCAGACCCAAGCACCAGGCCCTCCCCAGGGCAGCCAGCGCCCCCTCCCCCCGCCGTCCCTCCC